CTCACCTTCCCTTTTGGTTTTCTGACTCCAGATCTTTTGTACATTTTGTTGTAATATTTGATTTTGACCTTTGAAATTTTCTGTTCAGCTCTTTTACCTCCTCCTTTCTTCCATTTGCCTTAGCATCTCTACGCTGGAGAGCAAGTTTCAGTGTCTCTTCTGACATCCATCTTGATCTTTTCCTTCTTTCTTTTCTTCTTAATGATTTTTTCTTTTCTTCCTGTGTGATGTTCTTGATGTCATCCCACAACTCTTCTGGTCTTTAGTGTTTAATGTATTAAATCTGTTGATAAGAGTTGAAGTGCTCCATAGGGATCGCTCCATAGGGATCCCATGACAGTAATCTTCATGGAAGCAGACTACCTTATTTTTCTCCCATGAGCAAATAGTGGGTTTGAATCACTGACCTTTTGCAGTTAGCATCCCAGTGCTGCCAGGGTCACTTTATTCAAATGTAATTAGTTTAAACTTAAATTGTCCTATCTCAGTACATAGTCACTTTATTACATTTTTCAGGAAAGGCTCATGATACTACTACTTTCTGGACTTTGCTTATTGCCCTTTATTCTTGAAAATCAGTTCTGCTGGATATGAAATCCTTGGTTGTTTTCCTTAAGTATCTTAAATTTTACTTTATCATAAATCATGGCCCTCAAATTTTGATCACTATAATTTTACTTCTCATAGTCTAGAGACTCAGTTATCTATTATAAACATTTTTTATTGGTATTGATATTCTCAAATATGCAGGGTAGTCTTTCAGTATGTAGTTTTAGATCCTTTCCCTGGAAACTTTTTCTTAATTATACTTTTTAGTATGTTTTCTTTCCTTTTACTTCTTCAGACTTTTATGTGTTTGATCTTTGTCAATCTTCACCGTCACTTTTGAATCTTTACCTTTTTTCTTATATTTTGGGGGTTAGGAAGAAGTGAGAGATAAGGGTTAGGGTTGGGACTATGGGTAGGGCTAGGCCTATGACTTTTAGTGTTAAGAGTTATGGTAGTGTTAGGTTACAGAAGGGTTGGGCTAGGGTTAGGAGTAAGGGTTGGTCTGGTTTTTAAGGTTACAGTTAAGTATAATACTTTTTTCTTGAAATTTGTTTGATCTCTTATTTGGCAGTTCCATAATTGTATTATTCCTTGTTTTTACTGTTTGTTGTTGTTGTTGCAACAACTGTATCTCTGATTCTCTATTTTTAGTCTTATAGACCTGTTTTACTTTGAATACTTCTTTATTTGGTTTGAGTTCTATTCTAGGTGATATTGTCATCTATGTTAATCTCAGGTGGTTATCTGCTGTTCACTTTCCAAAGAAGTTCCTTTAAGTAATTTTGGTCAGGTTAGTCTGGCTTTTACAAGTTCTTTTTCTGTTTAGCTGGAATTGACCTAATTTTTTCCATCGTATTTGATGGACAATTTTGCTAGATATATGATTCTTGGTTTGCAATTTTTCGCTCATATTTTTATATATGCCATTTCATTGTCTTCTTGCCTGTAGGGTTTCTGCTGAGAAATCAGAGCTTAGTATTAATAGTTCTCCTTTTTAAGTAACTTTTTGTTTATCCTGAGCTGCTTTCAGGACTTTTTGTTTTGAAGTTTGATTAGGTTCTGCTGCTTTCCTGTGGGGGTCTATCCTGCTTTGAGTTCATTCAACTGCTTGAATGTTATCTTCTCATCTTTCATGACGTTAGGGAAGTTTTCTTTCAACAACTCTTGGACAATATTCCGTATGTTTTATTTTTGTTCCTCTTCCTGTTCTGGGAATTCCAATCACACCTGTTATTCCTCTTGATAGTTTCCCACTTAAATCTTAGGGTTTTTTTCTTATTGTTCCTCTAGCAGATGAATATTGAGGTTTTTCTTCAAATTATGTAAATCTATTTTGTCTTTTCAGTGTATTGTCTAATTTCTGAAATCTTAGTGTTAATCTTATAATTTCTGTTTTGGCATGCTTCTCTTTTCAATTATTTTGCCAGCTTGTTTCCTTAATTGTCCTACAGTTTTGTCCATGTTTTTTTCCCCTTGATTTCATCTCTACTTTCTTGATCATTCACTCTCAACCCACTGAAGTTGCCTAAATAGCATTCTTTTAAATTCCTTTTCAGGTAGTTCCAATGCCATTACTCATATTAAATTCTCTGACTGTATTTTGGACAGTTGTTTGAGGCACTCTGTTTTGCTTCTTCATGTAAACAGAAACTGCTTTCCCCAAAACATCATGACATCATATTTATATTTGATTGCATGTCGGTATATTCTCAGGTACTTACCACCTGTCTCCAGGTTGATGTGGTAGACTGAAGTATGACTGCAGTTCTCTGTACAGTGTGTGTGAGTAGTGCAGTTCAGGACAGGTTCACATGCCTCCAGAATCAGGAGTGCTCTGGCCAGTGGCCGGCCCCAGGCAGGATGGAGGGTGTCACTGGCTGCTAGGTTGGTGAGGACAGGAACTGGCCATTCACCATCCATCCAGAGGGCACAGGAACAAAGGAGAACCCGTACCCCTCCTGCTGCCAGCCACATCCTGTACCCAATAGTCACTCCATGCCAGCACACAGTCTGGCATTTTTTCCTCTATCACTTACTCCTGTTCAGCTTCCTCTTCCAGTCTTCACTCAGCCCACCTCTTTGTCCTGTCCTCTGATGCTCAAGGTTCCAGTATCACCACCATCTGTACCTCTTTTACTTGGTCTCCCAAGTGTTTGTTGCAAAGTGTCTGTCTGCTCAATGTCTACTCATCCATCTTGCCCCAGAAGTCTACATATTTATTTAATGCCTTATCTGTTGTATACACATATATTCACTCATGTGTCTTATGTTTCAGTCTTCATTTCTGAAACGACTTTTATTTCTAATTCTTAATTCTGTCACCTCATCTGAGTTTTTCTAAAGTTTATCCATGTTATTATTTGATGTTATATTACTTTAATATATTTCTGCTTATTTTAAAATAGTTAGTTAGACCTGTTCAGTGGAAGCGTTTCTGTCATGCTTTCACTTAAGGATGCTTTTTATTATTATTATTGTAAATTGGATGAAGGTTTACAGAAAGTTTTTCATTCAACAAATCATTTGATTTTATTTCACTAATTGCAATCCCCATAATAAAATATCAGTCATCCTATTTCCATTCCTCCTACTTTCATAATTCTTTTGACATTTATCCTTGGGCAAATGCTGTTCTTTAGATCTCAAATGGTTGATAATTCCAAGGAATGCATGCCATGCCTCCTTGGTGTTATTGTTCACCTTACAGACATGTCTACTGTTTGGCTGAATGTTGAACCATAGGGGTAAACTGAATTTCTGGATTGAAGAAAACTAAGGGTCATAGTCTCAGTGGTTCCACCAGTCTCTATCTAACCAATAAGCCTGGTCTTTATGATTTTGAGTTGTGTTCCACATTTCTCACCCACTCTAGCATAGTAGTTACAAATCGGGCTGCTAACCTCAGGATCTACAGTTTGAAACTACCAGCTGTTCTGTGGGAGAAAGGTGAGGCTTTCTGCTCCCAGAAAGATCTACAGCTTCGGAAACCCTGTACAGGGTTGCTATCAGTCAGAACTGACTCCACGAGACATAACAACAACAACATGTCCAGTACCTTCTAATGTGATTCCTTTCAGAAGAGTCAGTAATGGCAGCAGTGCACCATTCTTGTCTCAGAGTTGAGTTCTTTTCCTTAAAATATCTTTGAATAGTATTTGAACTTTATGCTTTTATTTTAATGTAAAAATAAGTTTCTTCAATTGTAGAATATGAAATGGAATCCAAAAAAACAAAGAAACAACAAAAACGCTCTTCTAAGTTCTGAGCACATACATACACTCTCTCTCTCCCTTACTACTTTATCTAGTGTTAACAAAAAGTACTGACAGGTTACTTACTGTGACTCCTTGGTTCAGTTCTGAGACTTTAGTTTGGACCTGTCTTTTCCCTGTCCTATCAATTCTGATTCTATTCCCAACAGTTTTTCCTTAGTGAAGAAGCCAATCCTAAAAGGGATTCCTTGTAAATCAGATTTGAAAGTTCTTGGAGAACTGATAAAATGTTTCTATTATTCCCCAGTTTCATCTGCTGCTCCCAAATTGGCTTTTTAACAGTTCCAGTGACTTAATCAGGTATCTTGGGCATTTTCTGTTCTCAGATCAGAAAACCTTCCCACACAGAACCTGGTACCAAGCAGGTATTGTGATAGAGGATTTGTCCCTACCTGCTTAAATTTTAGACTTCAAGGGTATATATATACCTCATCACCAAATTCTGTTGTAACTATTTTCCATGGGTTTTAGGTCTGTTATTTGTTTCTATTTTTATTTGGGAACTCAAACTGAAAAGCAATGCTGTTGTTGTCACCACTGTTTCAAAATTCTACTGAAAAAAATGTAAATTATATGAATTCACTGAAACACTACAAACACTTCATGAACTGGTTCTATTAGCACTACAGTAAGGTTATATTCAGTAACTTACCCAAAACTACACAGCTAATCAGTTGTAAAACCAGGATTTCTTAAATTCTAGAGTCTATGGTCTTTAGAATGATAAAGATTATTCATTGTAGGTAAGTATATTTTAAAGCCAATTTTCCAGAAATTTATTATGTAATGTGTCTAAGGCCTCTTTATTAATTCCTACTTAAGTCAAAGTCTGAGAAGCTAGCAAAATCCTTTCAATATCCAGTGGGGTAGAAGATGATAGATATAAATTTCTTTATCAGACTCAAATGTATAAGCAAGAATTGAAACCCTGACTCAAAAATCTAAGGATTCTTCAACTATAGAACATACGAAAGTGTTTCCAAAGTTTGTGGACAAATTCCATTATTTTTTAATTCCACTTTTCCATAAAATTTTAATAGTTCCCTTATACTTTACTAAGTAGATTAAGCAAATATAACTGTGGAAATGAAAATAAAACCTAATCACTGGAATAATTTTATGTTCACGTTCATGGAAAGAAAAAGAGAATTCCACAGCGAGCAACCACTAATGACCTACCTGGCCTGCTGTGTGTAGGTGGAGAAACAAAGAGAGGCTGTGTAGCATTCTGTGAAGAAACGGAAGTGGTACTACTAGCTTGATTAGCTGTTGCACAGTTAGATAAGACTGGAGCTGGAACATTATTGGCACAGGAAGCTACAACTGCTGCAGAATTTACCATCACCTGTAAGGGTGAAGAAAGTTTAAAACTCTTTAAGTTTGGTTTCTCAAACAATACCAAGTTTCTTATCTGATCTTAAATCTCAGGAAATACTATTTTGTTTACATAACTAAAATACTGAATAGTCAACCTTTATGTAAACCCTTATACAGAAGGCTATTTGTCTTAAAAGTCTATTTTGAAAGCTTTACTTATATAAATTTGTTATTTTTTGACTATCTAAGTAAGTGAGGCTGGCCCAGGATCGGGCAGTGATTCGTTCTGCTGTGCATAAGGTCGCTATGGGTCAGTACCAACTCGATGGCACCTAACAACAACAACAACAATATATTAATATGGTTTATAAATCAAGTATAAAATTGTACACAGTATAAAGATCACAACCCCTATAACTCTATTTGCCTAGATCCCACCCTCTCCAACCAAATACTCTCTGGGTTTTCTGAACATTCTTCCAGAAATTTGCAATACACATTCAGTTTTATAAGCGTACAACTTTTCCCACACAAACACATACTTTCAAACAAACAGAAAAGTAGTTTGCTTATTATTTTTAATCTCATGTGTCTGCAATTTGCTTTTCTGACTAGGCCTTTAAAGAACAAATTACTTCTCCTCAGAACTTAATACAGAATTATACAAAGAAAGATGTTCAATAGTAAAACCCTTCCTTATGAAAGCAGTGTACTCGTTGGCAGTCTCTATTTTCTTATCACCCACTGCAATGTAGCTGCTATCTCCTCTGGTCCTCTGACACTACATTCAAAGTCACCAATAATATCCACAGCAACAAATCCTAGAAGACTCTGATTAATCTTATATTGCTTTACTCCTTGGTAGCAAGTGACACTTGACTGCTCCTTGAAACAATTTCTTCTGTGGGCTGCCATATAATAATATCATACACTCCTGCTTTTCTTCCTTCCTTGGCTGTTCCTTTTCTAACCACTTTCTACACTTTAGTGATCCACAGGCTCTATAATACATGCTCATCAATCTTTTTTCATCTTCCTAAGTGTGTGGCTGAATCTGTTCCAACTCAGTGAACTCTGTATAAGGTTTCCAAGGAGCAGCTGGTAGGGTCACTGACCTTGTGCTTAGCAGTTCAGTGCTTAGACTACAGTATCACAGTAGGACTCCCTCCTTTTCTTAGGATGATCTTATTTACTCCTATAGGTTTCAGGTATGTTTTAAAAATTTGTGGCGCTGTGGGTAATGTGCCAGACTGTAAAGCCGTTTGAACTGCAAGATCAGTGGTTCAAGCTCACCAGCTGCTTCTCAGAAACCCTCTACAGGGTCGCTATGGGTCGGAACCCAACTTGACAGCACTTAAAAGCAATTACATTCTACAGGAGAGCTTTAAATTCAAATTTCAGTAAATGAGACAGTTGACAAGTCGTTTATATACGCATACAAGTGGGCTTCAAAAGTTTGTGGAAAATGGAATTAAAAGTTCATAGAAAAATGGAATACAAAGTTGAAAGAAAAATAGAATTAAAAGATAATGCAATTTTCCCTTGAACTCTTTGAGGCCCCCTTTTATAAAAGGTTTAGAGTAGACTATTAGTAATGTAACACCAGCACACACAACAGTATCTGGAACACAACAGGTGCCCACTCAAATTGTTGAGCAAATTTGAAATATGATGACGAAAAAGAAAAGTCATTTTCCATGGTTCAGATCATTTCACTATGAAGATTACCTTTTGAGGGTAGTTGTATGAGGTAACAGTGTCTTGAGGAGACACGGAACATGGTCTTCTGTCCTGAAGAGACTTTAATGAATGCAAAAATATAATTAAACAAGGTACTATCAAGAAACTAAACATCTATAAGCAAGTGAAAATGAATAGCCCTGAAAGTATTCAAATTTGGAACTAACTACTACTAAAATTAAAGTTATCACTCTGGTGCTTGAGGTAGGCCAACTGGTGTCCAACAGTAAAACCTACAAAAACTGGAACCCATGTAAGGTTAAACACTTGTCAGAGAAGGGAAACAAATATTTTACACTAAATAAGCCATAGAAAAGTGGTAAAACTGCATCCTGTCAATGGAAGAACACTGGCAAGCCGCTGAAAAACAAGGCAGTTCCATCAAGTTCCACTCTCACAGGTTTCACTGTACTTACCACCTACAGATATCCTAATCACATCCAAGTTTAGTCCTAATGCAGATATGACAAAGTAACTGCGGATTATAATTTAAACACTTTCTCAGTGGCTTTTCTTAAAACTTTCAAAATCAGAAAGACCAATAACAGTTTTGTTAAAAGAAACCACTTCTATTAAAAAGTTAGCTTGGAACAAGTGTGGATAACTGGTTGCTCAGCTTCCTATTATTCTTGATGTAGCCTGTCTAAAGCAGGATGCAGTGGAATCCAAATACTGGTTCATGACCGTGTCTTTGTGAAAGTAAAAATAATTTTGGAAAGCTCAGCCTTGTGAAAGTAAAAATTTTGGAAGTTTTAGACTTATGCATGGCAGATAGTATAGCAGAACTTCTAGCAACAACAACTGGAAATGTTGGTAAGCATTCAGAGAGAATCAGAGAAAGTAATCATAGAAAATAGCAAAAAGAAAATTATGACAAAGATGAGCCCCACTCAACATGGACTTAATATTATACATTTCAAAAGTTTATGTTCAAATACAGCCAAAGCACCAGTCTAAAACAAAACATCTTCTCTAGCAAAGACAACCTAGTGTGAATGCTATACAATTCTAGGGATTTGGGCAACAAGACAGAATGGATATGTTGTCGTTATATGCCATGGAGTCGGTTCCGACTCATAGCGACCCTGTACAGGGTTTCCGAGGCTATAAATCTTTACGGGAGCAGAAAGCCTCATCTTTTTCCTGCAGAAAAGCTGGTAGTTTCAAACTGCTGATCTTGTGGTTCGCAGACCAATTCATAACCACTATGCTATATATGTGCCTAGAAACATTTAAGTTCGGCATTGACAAAGTGAGATTAAGGGGACAGAAAGAAAAAGTGTATACTCTTTGGCAACTCTAATATTTGCTTTTTTACTTGGGCAGATAAAAGGGAGCTTCAAAGTTCTTAGAAAATTCCATTTTTAAATGTTATTGTGAGTTGAGTAAAGGTTTATAGACAAGATCAAATTACATACTTCATTTCATTTTAATGACTGCAAGTTCCTCAATGCAACATCACTTATTTCCATTCCTCCTTCTTTCCCAACCCTTATGAACTTTGTCCTTGGGTAAACATTGGCCTTTTTTGATCTTGAATGTTTGACCATTCTGTGGTGTGCATACCTCACTAGTGCTGCTATTTTTCCTATATAAGTTAGCCTGAAAATTGAGCCATGATGTTGAGTTCAGTTCCAGACCTAAATGGTAACCAATGGCCAATGTCTCGGGATCCACCAGTCTCTTATCTGACCAGTAAGCCTGGTCATTTTTATGATTTTGAGTTTTGTTCCACATTTTCTACCACTCTCTCCACTATCTTTCAATTCCATTTTTTCACAAACTTGCATTTCAAGAGGTATTATATAAAAAGCATATACAAAAGCTGATGACCTTGTCTGTAAACGTTCACATAATTCACAATAAAAAGTTCTATAAATATATCTATATTTTTTAAAGAGCATATATGAATAATAGTGGTGAGGAGAGGGGAAAAACAGAAACAGGGATCAAAATAAAAGAAGGTTAAAGAAAGCGAAGATAATTACAACTATCCCAGCTTTATTCACCTTTCTAAATAAGATGTTACACCTAAAATGTACAAGATCCCAAAGATCACCATTATCTTTACACAAATTATGTGCGCATTAATTTGGCTTTGCAAACTTGCAACCCTCACACTTTCTATTTCCTACGTCTGCTATGATATGTTATTTATATAGGAACTTTTAAATATGAAAAATAACCCTATATATTAGTAAGAAAACAAGAGTCATATTCAGAAAATAAAGAGTAGTCCTAAACCTCCCTTTTTGAGCACATAGAATTTGCTATTCTACGAATCGGGCTGTGAACCGCAAGGTCAGCAATTCGAAACTACCAGCGGTTCCACGGGAGAAAGATGAGGCATTCTGCTCCCGTAAAGATTTACATCCTCCGACACCCTGTGCAGGGTCGCTATGAGTCGGAACCGACTCCATGGCACTTAACAACAACATCCCATTCATAAGGAGCTCTGGCAGTGTAGTGGTTACAAGTCGGGCTGCCAACCTGAAGGTCAGCAGTTTGAAACTACCAGCAGTTCTATGGGAGAAAGATGAGGCTTTCTGCTCCCGTGAAGATTTATAGCCTTGGAAACCCTGTACAGGGTCACTATGAATCGGAATCGACTCTATGGTACTTAACAACAACAACAAATCCGATTCATATTTGTGCCCATTCCAAAGAGAGGTGACCCAACGGAATGTGGAAATCATTGGACAATCTCTTTGATATCCCATGAGAGTCAAGTTTTGCTAAAGGTAATATAGAATCAGCTACAATCATACATTGACAAGAACTTCCAGAGGTTCAAGACAGCTTCAGAAGAGAGACTGTGGAACAAGGGATATCATTGCTGATGTCCGATGGATCTTGACTGAAAGCAGAGAATATCAGAAAAGATGTTTACCTGTGCTTTGACTACACAAAGGTTTTCGAATGTGTGGATCATGACAAGCTATGGACGACATTGCGAAGTATGAGTAGTCCAGAACACTTGATTGTGCTCATGAGGAATCTGTACCTGGACCAAGAGGCAGTTGTTCGAACAGAACATGGGAACACTGCATGGTTTAAAATTAAGAAAGGTATGCCACAAGGTTGTATTCTTTTACCATACTTTTTTAACCTGTATGCTGAGCCAATAATCTGAGAAGCTGTGTTCTATGAAGAAAAACGTGGCATCAGGATTGGAGGAAGACTCATTAACAACCTGTGATATGCAGATGATACAACTTTGCTTGCTGAAAGTGAAGAGGACTTAAAACATTTACTGATGAACATGAAAGACAACAGCCTTTGGTATGGATTACATCTCAATGTAAAGAAAACAAAAATCCTCACCACTGGACCAATAAACACGATTCTTAACAGTGGAGAAAAGATTGAAGTTTTCAAGGACTTCTTTCTTGATCAACTATCAACACTCATGGAAGCAGCAGTCAAGAGATCAAACGACGTATTGTATTAGGCAAATCTGCTGCACAGGAACTGTTTAAAGTGTTTAAGAGCAAAGATGTCAGCTTGAGGACTATGGTGCGCCTGACCCAAGCCATGGTATTTTCAATAACCTCATATGCATGCGAAAGCTAGACAGTGAATAAGGAAGACCATAGAAGAATTGATGCTTTTGAGTCATGGTGCTGGAGGAGAATATTGAAAGTGCCATGGGCTGCCAAAAGTACCAATAGATCCGTTTTGGAAGAAGTACAGCCAGAGTGCTCATTAAAGGCCAAGATGGCCAAACTTTGCCTCTCATACTTTGGACATATTGTTAGGAGAAAGATATCATGTTTGGTAAGGTGGAGGGTCAGAGAAAAAGAGGAAGACCCCCAATGAGATGGATTGACCAAGTGGCAGCATCAAAGGACTCAGCGTGGCAACAGTAGTTGAGGTTGGCCCAGGATTGGGCAGTGTTTCGTTCTGCTGTGCATAAGGTAGCTATGGGTCGGTACCAACTCAATGGCACCTAACAATAACAATAATCTCATTCAAAGTTAGGTTTAGACATGTGACTTGTTTTGGGCAAGAAAATATAAGCAGAAATGCTAAGAGACTCGGTGTTCGCCTATACCAATATTCCTGCAGAGTTGATCATGAAAGAACATGTCCATTAGCCTGGGTTCATGAGTGCCTATGATGAAAAGAAGCCCCCTTACCAACCTGCATAAAACATGTAACATTAGCAAAACATTCCTTGTCGTAAATTGCTGAGATTACGGTGTGAGGGGGAGCTATTATTGCAGCATAACATAGTTTAACTAAAATAGTAATTAGTAACTAGAAGTAGGAACCTGCAGTAACTTAAACCTAATTTGGGAAAGAGATTACGAATTTGCAGCTCATAGAGAAAAGGTTTGAAAACAGTGCTTTTGTCATGTATGCTGATCACTGTTGGCAGAGTGCAGCAAGGTATTTTGAGAAAGACGTGTAAAAAAGCATTAACAAATCTGCAGGCAGGAATAAAATGGACTAAAAGTTCATGAATACAGAGCCTTGTAGGACTGAGGAGGTAACTGCTTTAACAGCAAATTACAAAAGATAAACTTAATAAATGCTTTGAAGAACTAAAACCAACTAAATCTCAGACTTGAAGCAAGAATCAAATCATTGTTACAGACTCTGAATATATTAAGATATCACATAACAAGAGTACATTTAGAGTAACCCCCCCTTCAAGAGTGAAACTCAAAGGGAACACATGAACATGCAAGTTTGCTGGTGACCACGTTGGTCTACTGGTGAATGGAAGAGGAAGAAAGGCAGTAATGAAGATATGGGCTTAGTTTGAACACATTCCATAGACTCCCATTGATCTTGAGATGAGATAGATAGAAGAGTTAGGGCTGGTTGATCCAAAGTGTGGCGAGACCTGGGACTCCTGAGCCCATGAACTTGAATAAAGTCTAATCAAGGAAGAGTCCAGTCCCTATACCAAGGTTGGCGACCTTCATAAAGTCTGCCCCACCTCATGATTTTGGAATTGATATAGGAATAGTTACTGTGGTTTTCTCTTTTTCCCTACTTTATGAGTAAGAATTTTTATTACAATTTTTTAAAGCCCTGCTCCACCACTGTAAATTGTGGGAAACAGAAGGATAACTTTTTATTTTTTACTTTAGGAAATCAGTTGAAGAAAGCCATTTCTGTGCTCAAATACAGAGCACTAAGTATATATAACCCAGAAATGCTGGGCTTTTAGTTTGATTGTATTACCTACCTTAGGGAGGAAATATTTTGTCTGTGAGGTAAGAACAAGTTAAATGTTGTACTCATTACTGCTATTAAACAATTTATAACTTAAACTCTTTCAAAGGATCTGCTCTGGCCAATGAAATGCCAGTGACACATATCATCTCCAGGTATAAGTGTTAAAAAGCCAGTGCACACCATTTACCACCTTTTATTTCCTGCCTGAATCCCTAAAAGCCCTCCTTGCAGACTTCCACTGGATGTGTAGTCTGTAAGTTCTTGCTGAAATTTCTAGGCTTTTTTTTACTGACACAAAAAGTCATAATAAAAATTCTCTAAAGTACCAATGTTAAAATTCTTCTCATACTTACATAATATGTACATTTTACAATATTCCTCATATAGGAATCACTCTAAATAGACTGATTTTAGAACAGGGATTTCATCTTGGATGAATTACTTCATTTCTTGCCCTAATTTCTTCATCTACAAAATAGTACTAATTGCCTCAGAGTGTTGTGATTTAAATGTTTATCAGTATAATTCTTAGGATAGTACCCTAGCACAAAGGAGTTTAAATTGTTTGCTATTACTATTAAATACCTACCAAGTTTGCTGTAGATTCAGTTGTGCTATAAACACCTGCTGTTTCATAGTCTGGCTCTACAGGATATAGCCAAAGTAAAGTAAAAAAAAAAAAAAAAAAAAAAAAGAGTATGTTTATAGTTTGAAATTCCATAAATAATGATAACTGTCAGATTATATCTAGATCTCACTGACCTGAAGGATAAATATAGTCTTCATGGTATCCCCCTAGGAAAAAAAGACAAAAGTTGGATTTCATCAGTCTTTTCAGCTCAGCAGATGGAAATGTCCAGCAGCCGCTTCTTCTTCTTAAGTTTTATGGCTATCCAAGGAGACTTCAAAAAGTTCACGGAAGAACAAAATTTAAAAGATCATGGAATTTTTCCATGAACTTTTTGAAGCCCTCTTCATTGTTCAAAACTAAAATGTGTGAATATGTGCATATATACATATATATGTGTGTGTGTGTGTGTGTATATATGATCTGAATCTTCATACTAACATCAGATATTAAATCCAGAGTCTGGTTGCAAAAAGAATAAATTAGTCCTCTGAAAATCTACTTGTTAGTGGAGTTCAAGTGCAGAGTTAATTCCGGCAGAAGTGACAAACCCAGTTATATTCAATATTTTCAATGAAGCAGTATAGTGACAAATATACAGGCTCTGGAAGTAAAACTGCCTAGGTATGAATTCTGATTACATGACTTTGGGCAGGTTACTTCTTTATAAAACGGGGCTAACATTACCTAGGTCACAGGGATTTTGAAGGGAATTAAACAAGTTAATATATGTGAAAAACACTTTAGAATAGTACCTGACAAAGCAAACACTCAAATGGGTAACCATGAAATAATCTGAGCATAACACATAGTTTTCTTTGTTGTTGTGTGCTGTCAAGTTGGTTCTGACTCACTATTAACCCTTTTTAGGGTTTCTGAGCAGCAGTTGGTGGGTCCCAGTGTTTATCCTACAGTGTCACACCAGTACTCCTTTTAGTGGACATTAAAGGGATGTGTCATACCTCATCTGTTTTTCACCCACTTCAGGTAAGTAATACATTTGAAAGCAATGTTTTTCCTGGAAGGGTGGCTCAGTTGGCTGTAAGACTGATGTTATCACTGAATGAAGATAAATTTTCAACTGGACAGTTTTCCACCAAATAAAACCCCACAGGTCAAAATTGAATTCAATTGTTAAACATACAAATTATCAAACACACATGCATGCAATTCTACCAGACAACAGAATGTAAAGTGAGAAAAAAGATGAAGCTACTTCTAATATGCCACTACATTTGAGCAGCATGTCTGAAGCTATCCACAGTGCTAGTGGGAAAAGATAAAAAGTCATGCTAAATAGAAGAACAGAGAGTAAACTTCCTTGAATCCATGCATGCACATGCATATACAAAATCTACATAGATCATTCTTTTCCTAAGTATTTCTGTCCTCATTAAAGTCATAAAAATACCCATTTTCTTCTACATACACAGCAGAAAAAATATCACAAAGAAATAAGGAACTTGACAGGAACATTTAACATTACAAAAGTTTTTTAGAATATCTTACCTCAAGATACCCAATTCCTCCACAATTGTTTCAGTATGCACATATTTTACAATAAAATGGGGAAAAAAACACACACCCCATGATGGGAGGCAATACAATAACCGTCAAAGGTGCACATATATGCTTTAAAGGCAAATACACTGGGTTTAAATTTGATCTTTGCCAGCCAGTCATACATAAACCAATATTGAATGATTCCATTTTTAGGAGATGTCCAAAACAGGCATAATGACAGAGACAGAAAGTATATTGGTGGCTGCCTAGGGCTTCAGGGATAGGGCAGAAGATGGGATGGGGGAAATGGAGAGTGGTTGCTAACTGGTAGAGAGTTTCTTTTTGGCATGATGAAAATATTATAAATTGATTGTGGTAACAATTGTAGAACTCTGAATATACAAGAAGTTATTGACTTCTATACTTTAGATGGATGACTAAATTGGTACATGAAGTAACTATAAAAATTGGAGTTATTATAAAATATTTCAATCTGTTACTTACCGAGGGTAAGTAAACTCTTGGACACTGAACCTCAATTTCCTCATAAAAGGGGCACCAAAAAGTTATGAAAAAACGCAACTGAAAAAATAAAGGAATTTTTTTCAGGAACTTTCTGGCACTCTCCCTGTATATAACAGCCACACATTTCTTAGAAGTCCACTGTAAGGATTATATTATGAATATAAGTATTTAGTTCAGCTCTGATAGAATAGTGGTTACAAATCAGACTGCTAACCTCAAGGTCAGCAGTTCAAAACTACCAGCTGGAGAAAGATGAGGCTTTCTGCTCCCATAAAGATCTGCAGCCTCGGAAACCCTGTGCAGTGTCACTATTGAGTAGGAACCGACTCCACAGTATTTAACAACAACAACTTATTTCAGTAGCTGGCACAGAATTTAGTATCTAGCGTAGTGGTTATGAATCAGGCTGCGAACCACAAGGTCAGCAGTTCGAAACTACCAGCCACTCCGCGGGAGAAAGATGAGGCTTTCTGCCCCCGTAAAGATTTACAGCCTCGGAAACCCTGTACAGGGTTGCTATGGGTCGGAACCGACTCGATGGCACTCAACAACAACAAACATTTATAAATCACATAGATTTCTTTGAGCAATGACATTATAGCAGTATTGTAAAATAAGGAGTCCTGGTGTGGCATGGCGATGTGGGTGGGATAAAGCACTGAACTGGCAAGTTCAGTTTGAACCATAAGGTCAGGAGTTCAAACTCACTAGCTGCTCCTTGGAAATCCCATACAGGGTCATACATAATGAAGACAATTGGTGATGCAGTGGTTAAGCACTCAGTTGAAAACCAAAAAGTTGATCATTCAAATCTACCATCTCACTGCTCTGCTGGAGAAAGATGCTTCAGTCAGCTTCCATAAAGATTGCAACCTTGAAAAGCAAATGGGGGCAATTCTACACTGTACTATAGGGTGGCTATGAGTTGGAAGGAATGAACTTGAAGGCAATGGGTTTGGTTGTATTTATTATTGGTAATGGTATTGAAAAAAATCAACAATTTCTACATGTGTAATTCAGTGACATTGATTACCTTCAAATTGTACAGTCATTTTCATCCTCCTTTTCTGAGTTGTTTCTTCCACATTAACGCAAACTCACTGCTCCCTAAGCTTATTAATCATTGAAGTTGTCAGTTTGATCCCATAAAAATGGTTCTTAAAGGAGTACAATAAATTTGAGGGCTTCATTTAATTTTTTTAAAATAAGCAAATAGATTGTTTCATACTGAATTCTTACCAAATCAAACTCACTTTTACATGATAAAAAGATCACTTAGAACTATGCTGTTGTTCTTGTGTGCTGTCAAGTTAATTATGACTCATAACGACCCTGTAAGGACAGAGTAGATTTGCCCCATATGGTTTTCTAGGTGGTAATCTTTATGGCAGATATCCAAATCTTTTCTCCCACAGAGATGCTGGTGGGTTTGAACCACTAACCACTGTTAGCAGCCAAGTGCTTAACTATTATGCCACCAGGGCTCCATAAATATCTAGGTGGAGGACAGAAAATAAGCTATAGTGAAGTAGTCACCTATCAAAATCGAAGCCTTGTCATCCTGAAATACCAAGACATCTTCAAAAATCTAGCAAGCAATGAGAGAAGAACTGATAGTAATTTCAAAACAAGCTACCAAACAAAGTAAAGACCCAAACCAAGCCTTTGGTCTACTTCACAATCTTGATGTACTCATCTTTCAAAAAAGTATTTAACTCACCATTGTCACTCAGGCCATCACCCTCCTCTGAATTCAACATCTGTTTGTCTGAGCTATGTCCCCGCCTTGACATACAGTATCCTGAAGCAGCTGGGATCATTGCAGAAGGGCTACCATGATTCTGTAAAAAGAGGCACAAAGGGAAGCCATCAAGGCAAGCAATCAAATCCCTTCAGGAGAAATCCCCGTCCAAGACTGAAACTCGAAACACATGAACAGGCACATAAGCTTGCTGGCGACCATGATGGTCTGTTGGTGAGTAGAAGATGGGGAAAGGCAGCAATGAAGAAATGGGATGAGTTCAACCACGCTCCATAGACTCCTGTTGACATGAAGATGGAAGAGGAGGGGCTGATTGGTCCAAAGTATGGTGAGACCTGGGGACTCCTGAGCCCATGGACAAGGACATATCCATGCAGGCCTAGAGCAGAGAGTGAATCATCCAGCTGATATGAAGTGAGGGAGAGGTGCATAAGAATGCCCAAACTTGCAGAGAATACCCATGTGACCTAGCCTTGATGGCTTGATAATCAGAACTCAACTAGCAGAAGATTTAAAAAAAAAAAAAAAA